AGTTATCGCCCCCCCCTCCCCCCCAAGAAACTGTACATATACTTACGCACCTTGGTTTTGGATAGTGACTCGAACAAGGTAGCCACGAGATAGGAGCTCCTTGACTATATGAGAACCCAAGAACGAGTTCCCATCAGTCACACAGACCAGCTTATTCTCTCTTGCATTCAAGCATGAACTGAATTCCCCCCCAACATAGGGCTTCCCCTCGTCCCAGCAGAAAGCTGGCACAGGTGAAGGTCTTGAGTGAAGCAGCACTTCGTCTTCCATCATTCTCCCTCTGTTTCTGTCTAGATCTCTCTAATGTGCATGGCATTTAAAGGAAGAGGACTGGCAGCTGGCTATAAAAATGCACGGAAGCGGTAGATAGGAACATTAGATGTATGGAACACAAGACCCCACGAGGGTGGTAAGTAGAGTCTTTGGCTCGAAATGAAGACCGATATTTCCGTTATGTCAGAAACCCAGATGCTGTCAGGTCAAGATCCAATGTCGTTCGTGAATTATTATTATTATTATTATTATTATTATTAATTCTCGTAGAAAATCATCTAGAATCTGTATAATTATGAAGAGTTGAAGAGGGCTTTGGTGTTCACTTAGCGACCACACACCGGAGGAACGAGTTAGTTAACAAATTGATCGACTGCCATAGCTTTAAATAACCATAAACATGACTTCGATTAAATTAAATCTATTGTTTTATAATTGAAATTAGCTAATATAAGCACGTAACTGATAAGAATTCTTATTAAATCCGGTCCAGCCTATTTTTATTCTAGATCGAATTAAAAAAAATTAACTTGTAGTTCTACGAATGAGAACTTGTCAACTTTCATTTATTTTATTGAAAAAATATACTAATCTTGATTTTAAAAAAATAATTTAAATTAATATACTCGATTTATGACCTTGTACGGGGAGAATATTATTAAAAAACTATGCTTGTCAAGATAAAAAGTTGACCACGGAAGGCCTATCCCTAGCAAGAGGAACGGAAATTAACTCCTCCAAACAATTTATTACATAGATCCAGCCCTATCACACTCTTTGTTTATTGCACCTGTCTCGTCGGATTTGCTAACTGATTAGTTTTAATTAATATTTGGTAGCGTAATAAAGTGTTTTTGAAGAATTTTTTATTTACAATATATTAAAATAAAAATAAAAAAAATTAATTTTGATCTTATAACCAAACTGACCCTTAGAAGTACGTTGTATTTTTTTTTTAAATTAGCAAATATTAAAAAAATTGCAAAGTGATATAGTTGAAAAAAAATGTAAAGTAGTAAACTGAAAATAATTAAATAAATAAATAAATTTTTATTAATTGTTCTATTTGGAGGAGCACAATCTACAGAAATTTTATTAGTTATACTCTTGATAGAGCAACCTTGTTATGCTACTCGTAAATGCCGGATTAAGTGGTTGCGTGTTGCCAGTTTTTGTCGGTTCATAGCCTTCTTCCACCGCAATGTCATCGCCCCCTCCTCCACCCACCGTCACCATTCCCATCACCTCCACCGTCAGCAATTTCAAATTAGCACTTTTTATCATTTTTAATATTGTGGAATTTATTGTGTTTTAAAGATTTGTTAGGTTTCATTTTGTTGTTATGTTAGGTTTAGTTATATTTAGATCAATCTAATCAAGTATAAATTGCATCAAATATGTATAAATGATAATTGATGAATATAGGTATTTGGTTATTATATTGGGGTTTATTTTGTTATGATAGGGTTTAATTAAATTGAGATAAATCAGGCATCTATTATATTAATTAGGTATAAATTGCATTAATTGAGTGCATAAATTATATACAAATTAGATGAATTAGAGTTTATGTAATTGATGAGAAATGTTGAATTTTCTGGAGAATTGGGGTTAATTGATGAATTTTTTTTTTAAAAAGATGCAAGGTAATATAAATGAAAAAAAAAAAAACAAAGGGGCACAGTAGAAATTAAAAAAAAAAGAGTATATTATACTTTTATTAATTAAAAAAATCATCAATTACCCCCAATTCTCCAGAAAATTCAACATTTCTCATCTATTATATTAATTAGGTATAAATTGCATAAATTGAGTGCATAAATTATTTCCCATTGTTTACGAGTATATAATCTATTAGATCCAAGCCTATATATTTTTAACTTCAAGGAAATCTCAAGTTTCTTGATGATATGAGTTAAAAATATTTTATTTTAATATATTAAACATATTTTTATTTTGATAAATTCAGAAATATTTTATTATGATAAAATAAAAATTTCTTATCCTTATACATAAAAGATTTTATTTTAACAAAATAGATATATTTTACCAGTACGTTGACTTTTCCATTCTAAACGAAGAGAGAGACCTCAAAAGAGCTATAAAGATAGGAGAAGATAACTTTGAAGGGGGGAGTTTTTTCTTATTTTTATTTTTCATATAATGATATATCTATCCTAAAAAGCCATTTTTTTTCTAAAAAAAACTGTAACAGATCTTTCTCTCTTAATTAATATTAATTTAATAGTTTAAGAGCCCTAAATATATATATAAAAAACTTTTTATAAATAATAAAAATGATCTATCAACCACTCAACAAATAAATAATGAATTAAATTGCTAAAATTATAAGATTAACAATCTTATTACAAATTTTAGCTTAGTCTTCAAGCTCAAGGAATAATATCATATTTCTTAAAAAATTAATCAAATTTATTTATTTTTAGTCCTAAAGACAGTAAAATTATCAATTTTGGATTTTCTCTGAGCTCCCAAGTTTATAATCTTATAATATTATACCAGGTTAAAAAGTTTCACTATACTGGGATTTAGAATGGAAAAACAATAAAGCAAAAAATAATTCCATCTATAAAAAGTTGTTTGGTATTATTATTAAATTCGGTTTAACAATTCAATCTTAAATTATTTAGATCCAACTTTTTATCTAATTTAGGATTAACACTAAACCATATAAAAATTGTCTTAATTTGATTCAATCAACTACAAAAATTAAAATATAATTTTTATAACTAGTAAAAAATATAATTTTATTTTTAAAAAAAAATTCAAGATATTATTTTTTTAATATTAAAATGATGATATATTAGATTGATTCGGGCTTCACGATTTAATCCATTAAATCCATGATTTAAATAATAGATTTTAGTTTTTTTTTTAATATACACTCAAAAAATCAAGCATAAACTAGCATAAACCAAATGTTTATATGTTTATTTGAAATTAAAATAACCTTATAAAAATAAATTAAAATAATTTATAAAAATAAAATCAAAATCAAGCATATACCAAATTATAATTTTTTTTAAAAAAAAAAACAAATGAAAGGAAAACTAGGGGCAACAATTATACTAGTTTACAAGTCTATGCTACACTATAGATCAAATTAAATTTTTTAACATAATTAAAAAAAATTAAGCATGCCCTCTAAGTCTTTTGCAGTTATACTAGTGAATTAAATTTTTTAACATAATTAAAAAAATCTAAAATATAAAGAAATATTTTATATTTTTATTAAACATAATATAGTGGATCAGCCTTAAAATCTTTTGATTTGATTTTTTTATATCAATTTAAAAATTAAATTATATAGGCAAGTCTACTTAGCCTGTCTAATGATATCATGGTTGAGTTATAAAAAAATTTAATGATGAAATTAACATAAAAGATCTTTCGATTCAAATATTTACTTAGTTTAGGTTTAAAATTTAATTTTGTGTGAGTTACTCATTCGTGATCCAATCAACTTGATCAGATCAAAAATAATCTAGTCAATCTAATTGAATAATAAAAAAAATATAAAATTGAAATTAAAAAAAAATAATAAAATTATTTTTTTACCCAGCTTCTTACTTAGACTTAGACTGGGTTTAAAACCAAACCACCTGAAATGTTTACACGATTACCCAATTTAGGGGAAAGGGTATGTGAATCTGATGCTAATATTGCACAAAAAAAAAAAAAAACTTCATTCTTTATCATGGTAAGAGCTCGGAGAAAGTTCTATATGGGACATAAATATCTTTGTTCTGATGCTGCCCTGAGAATCTGACAGCTGACTATATTTGTTATTATTGATTTTCCTAAAGCCGAATTGTTTCCTGTCTGTCAATGCCATTGCCATGATAAAAACTTCATTTCTGGGGTGTGAAAAATGTTCATAAGAGCTGTAAATCAAGCAGGGTGGTAACGGATCAAAATGGACTTGGCTCAGATCAGCTTCCTCGGCTGTTATGCCATCAGAGCATGAAATGATCTTTACTTGTTACTCTCCCCGTAGTTTAAGATAGGGTGGTTCATCATTCCTGTAAGTGATAATTTAAGCGATCCCCCCTGTTTCTTTCCGAAGCGAAGAGTTTTTCCGTGAGGCCCCATTGGAGACCAGACCATTCTTGAGACTTAATGGTGGGTAAAAACTAACAGCAGCCATTAACTTTTATTCTAATTCAATTTCTTGCTCACTTTTCAATTGCTTTGGTAGTCAGCTTCCACCATACGTTGATGAGAAATACAAGAATGGTTGCAGTCTCCTGCACGACTCGAAAGCTAATTAACTTTGATCAACAATCCCCCATCCCACTAATAATGAATTAGTAGAAATGTAGCATAAAAGATGTGTATACAGGGAATGCTGACTTCTGTTTCATTGATTGCAAGAGATTTGAGATGCCTGATGCAACAATCTGGCAAGCTTTGAATTACTTAGATTGCTGTGTATTTCTTCTGATAAGATTCCACTTCTTCCTCCTGACACCAGACCTTGTATATTCAATTCATTTTCAAGTTGAATGGCCTCATCCAATCTCTGTACTACTCTTTCAAAGCATATATATCGTCCACAAGCTCCATTATCCATAGCTTCATAAACATGGACATGTGCTTCTGCCACCTTCCTCACATCTGATAATCCTAGGAGGCCCTGTCGTAGCATGATTGGACCACCTATCCATGAGATCTTATATGTTAAGTTTCAGTTGTAGTGAACAAAATCCAATCATTTCTTTTGGATTCTCTAGATGTTCCATGGTCCAGAATTATTGCCTAGTTGTTATGTTCTAAATACAAGTGTGATTTAGAGACAAACTTGAAAAACTGGAACTTCTTTTCAGAATCTTGGATTCGAACTCAAACTAAGTAGAATAAAAATGGATTAAATGTTGTTATTACCTTTAAGATATGGTATAGAGGTTTCTTTGTGAGCATGGGGGAACGATGTAGCTATGAGAAGGCCAGGACAAACAGTTACGAGTCTCACTTTCAATTCTTTTGACTTTCTCCAAGCAATCTCTTCTGCTCTCACCTTACCCAATGCAAGCCAAAGCTGTTTTACATATTGAAAGTCCATGGAGAATGAATACTTTACTTTTTA